TTTGAACGTTTGAACGGTTATATATATATATATATATATATATATATATATATATATATATATATATATATATATATATATATATATACATAATTTGCATACATTTTCTTTTTTCTTTTATGCTTTTAACATTTTAAGCTGATTCTATATAAGAGAAATTAGATTATTTAAGTGTTGTGTGGTAATCATTTTACACAAGTATAAATATTCCATGCAGACTCTTCTCAAACAAGACAAGTCCAGAAAAGTATTAGAGAAGGCATAATCTGGATGCTCAATGGTTAGGGAGGTTTGGCCCACAATATGCTAAAAGCATTTGTATAGCTTGTGTAGAAATGAAAGGAAATATGAATTGAGAGTGTAAGTGTGGGCAGGGTGAAGATGTCTCTGGCTGCACACGCACACTCTTGAGACAAAATCTGAAGAGCGGACGTGCCCTCTCACCTCTTTTTCCCTTCCTTTGTCCTTTGTTTTTTACTCTCTCTCTCTCTTTTTCTTGTACTTACACTCTCCACATCCTCCTATTTCAGCTTTCCTATCCTTGACCCTATCTGTTAAATATCCTGTTATCTCTGTCACTCTACATCTGGCTGACTAGGTAAAAACACAAAGACATCTACTTTTCCCTCAAACCTCCGTGTTTATTATTTCACAGATATGAACGGAGAACTCATCCATGCCAGATGGAAACTTTTACATGATTGTTCCATCGGGCTGATGGTGAACTTGTGTGAGTTTTCAACAAACATAATTTCAAGACGTGTGGGAAAAGATGACAGCTTTTCAAGGAGAGGTTTTACGGCTGATGCCGTAATTTTAGCCCCGCTATCGCGAGAGGAATTCCGTCAGTGACCGAAGGGTACAATGGAGCACCTATAGTGGTATGGGTCTCATGGTGAGCTTCCTCAGCAGGGCTGCATGCCCATGAGACCAGCTCACACTCTCACACTTCCACATTCAATGCTGCAGCGCTTAAGGAGTGAGTCAGTGAGTGTGGAGGCCTGCCAGCTCTCATCACAATAGGTGGAAATGGGAATTTAATACAAACTTTCTCACATAGCCACAATGCATCTAATAACACTCACAGTTGTCCCCTCCCTAGTCAATTACAATTATAGCTGTATTCATGATTTAATCATGCTTATGTATGAGATTCCCACAATTTATCTTGCTTAAACGATGTAAAAGTCTTCGCTGTCACTTTTGGTCAATTTAATGCATCCTTGCTGAACCCTTGCTGAACTGATCCCAAACTTTTGAATGGTAGTGAATGTATTTTATGCATAAATAAATTTTTCTTTTTAAAACAACATTTTATGTTGGTATTTATTTATTTGTTTGTATGTTGAACTTGAAACATTTATTTTAGTTAATGTAAATAGTACTTAATATTTTTAAGCACAAATAGTTGTATTGTATTTATGATTTATTTATTCCTATGTTTGAGATTCCCACAATTTTACTCACTAAATGTAAACGTCTTTACTGTAATTTTGCTCTATTTAATGCATCCTTTCTGAATAAAAGTTTTATTTGTAACTTTTTATTTCTTTAAGTTGTTTTATTTTAATAATAATAGTAATAATAATAATAATAATAATTATTATTATTATTATTATTATTATTATAGTTGTTGTTTATTTAAGTGATGTGACTAGTATATATGTATGTATGCATTTATTTATTAATTATTTATACGTTTTATTATAATAATTATTTTATTTTATTTTAATGACCCCAAACATTCGTTTTTTGTTTAAAAAATGTATTATTTATTTAAGTGATGTAACTAGTATGTATGTATGAATGCCTGCATGCATTTATTAATCTATCCATCTATCTATCTATCTATCTGTCTATCTGTCTGTCTGTCTGTCTGTCTGTCTGTCTGTCTGTCTATTTAATTTAATATATGTTACACCAGACATTTATGAAGTTATTTATTATTAGCAGTGCAGGAACAGGAGCATATTGTTGCTATTGCTCTTATTGGGGGTCTTTTGACTTGGGATAGAAACCACCTAGCAACTACCAAGAACAAACTAGCAACACTCTAGTGTTGTAGTGGAGAGGAAAACACCAACAAAATTTTTTTTTTTATCCTTTAAGGATTATGAATCCTTATTGTGTTCTATAGGTAACTAGGCAATAAAGTTGTGGCAAGGCAACACTAAGCACGTGAGCATTAGCAAAAAATCGAATCAAATAATAAACACTGAAGTTACACAAAGCCTTTTGATTCCCTTTACATGTGTACTGGCCACCAGTCTGTGCATTGTCTCTTGAACTCACAAAGGAAAGTGTTTGTCTGCCGACGAGAGAAAATAATCAGCATTCATCATCACTTTCATAATGAAGAGGAGGTAAAGCAATTACTGCGGGACTACAAAAGGTGACTGGAACAATAGGCGGCGGTCTGGGAGGAGTTCTGTGGTTAAATCTAGTCGTTCTAAGTACCTTGTTCTTGTGAGTGTTTTTCCCACCCTAGCTCCACGCATCCACAGAATATGTTGACACAGTGTCTACTACTTTCCCGTGCGGCTTCCTCATCCAAACACTTTCAACGCTTTATCAGCCAGTTTTTGTATATACACAAATACACATACGCCCTCATACAAAAACACAAACTCATCCTACCAAGACATGTTAGGATATACAGAAACTACAAAAGCAATGCAAATCATATATTTGCATATAGTTCTTTTGTTCCTAGAATATGAATACTGGTACTACAACATTTTGCCAAAAGTGTTCCATGCATACAACAGGCATACTGTATAAAAATTTATTTAGCTTGAATCTATATTGAATTTAGCCATTTTGAGCAATGGTTATCTTGCAGCTTGTTTATTGCTTATTTATTTCTGCAAAAATATATGTGTGGGGTTGGTATATTTAATTTTTTTTGAAAGAGGTCGTTTTTCAAAGAGGCTGAAAAAGCTGAATTTATTAGAAAAAAACAGTATATTGTGAAATATAATTACAATTTAAATCAACTGTTTTTTTTTATGTGTTCAAATTGTAATTTATTCCTGTGAAGGCAAAGCTGAATTTTCTGCAGCTAGTACTCCAGTCTTCAGTGTCACATGATCCTTCAGATATCATTCTAATATGCTGATTTTGTGCCATAGAAATATTATTACATTATACAATAATCATTATTATAGAAATATTATTATTAATCTATGCTACTTAATATTTTGTGGAAACCATGATACATATTTTTCACAGATTATCAATTAGATAATAATAATTACTACGGTGCATCCAAAGACTCTTGGTCTTAGCCATAAAGTTTTTCTTTGCAGTAACTGTGAATATTTAAATGTGATGATAAATGTTTTCATTTGTGTTTCACTTATGTGATCAAATGGGCAGGATGTAGGTGTGACCTGTGAAGATGACCTGCTATTTGTGTCTGAGCAGTGGAGAGTTCATAGATATACCAAAGGTGACAATGCACACAAAAGCAAGAAGACCTCCACCTCAGACAGCACTTCTAAAAACAGCAACATGTTAGATATTTCTACTCTAAATCAGCACTAACAAATCTACAACTAAACTCTGGTTTATTATCTGTGTGCAAAAAAGAAACAACTTTTTATCTGTTCCTTGCTCTTGGAAAACAGGAAAGTCAGAACAATGTCAGTCTGAGTCAGCTTCGATTGTATGATGTTATCAAGAAACAGACAGAAAATATATATGTGCTCATTTCAAAAACCATCCATCTACAAATTAGTGAAGTGTGCAAAGACTGTGTAAATGGGTCTGTAGATGTGCGGCGGTGGGCTTTTCCTCTGCAATTAAACTAGAGATGACTGACCATTTAGAGAAAACATACAGTCAGGGACTGTTTCTTGTTTCCTGGCTATGACTGATGTAAGTAGTTAAAAGATGCCTACAGCACTGTGGAGCATGTTCATCAATAGGCAAATATGACCATGAGTATGACAGTAATCTCTGTTCTTTATGACAGTTTGGTGCCTTGAGTGATGGGGATATTAAAACACTATAAATCCAGACACGGACACATCATTAGCTGCCCGAAAAAGATTGACAGGAAACATCGGAATTTTCACATATTGTGAGATCACCTGACTCAGTAAATCAGTCCACATTTAACCTCTGAGCATGCTGACATGAAACAGTATTTTGGGTTTCACGTTCCTCCCTTAATAACCAGGTTTTTTTTAAAGGTAGCTATATGTGCACTTAACACAGTGAAAACTATTGACACTATGTGGGATAATGACCTTTCAATAATATAATATAATATAATAATAAATGCATCTTTAGTTTACTAATCGGACTGTAACAAGTCCCATTAGTAAACTGTAACACTGTTACGAATAAAATAGAAAAATGCTATGAAATGGAAGATAAATAAATATAATAAAATACAATCATTGTGCTTCTGTGTTGTTATATGCAATTTTCCTATTCAGTCTATATGTTGTCTTAAATTAGCATCTTGTTGTTCATGTTCATTTGAATGAATTTGAATTTGATTTAAGGACATTATTGTCTACTTGTACAATTTAACTTTTCAGTTGAGTGGGTCTTGTTTTAAGAATGTTTAAAAGTTTAGACAAATATATTTCTATGCGTAACACACATAACAATGTAAGAGTAAACGTTTTGCAGATATATAATTATAGAACAACCCTGATCTTGATAAACTGACTTTACTGTAAGTCATCAGACATCCAGTTTTGTGTAACTGAAATTCTGAAACAAACTATTTGATCCTCTCTCTCTCACTCTCTCTCTCTCTCTCTCTCTCTCATCCCCTACGCCTCTTCCTTCCTTTCCCACCCAAAGTATGAGTGTGGAGAAAGCAGAAGAGTTGAATTTTCTGCGTGTCAACAGCACAGATTTCCACGCGCAGAGTGAGTCAGTGCGCGTATATTCATTCACAGTGATTGTAGAAATGCGCAATTCCGTGCGGCGACGGCTGGCGAGCTGGAAAACCCCACTGGAATTACAAATCCTGTATTTGGATCAATTCTAACGGATTATCTGAGTGAACATAAGATTACAGTCATGCTACATTTAATCTGCCTCCTGTGCCTCGTGGACATATCTGGTAAGTACTTTAGTAGGCTAGTTGTTAGTTTCCCACTACATGTTTCGTTTCTCCTTTTGAATTGATTTCAAAATATTGATTGATTGATTGATTGATTGATTGATTGATTGATTGATTTGGGAGAGTGCAATTAGTATGGGAATTGGGTTAGTTGTTGCAAAGGCCATCTCATATAACTGTTTTTGAGTTAGAAGAATGTGAGTCATCTACCAGTAATTTTGTATGTTGGTTTAAATATTCTATACAATGTTTTGGTCTATATTAGAATGACATTTGTCAGTTCTATGCTCACAATACGCTATAAAACACACACACAAATATTTTTGGCAGTTTTATCCTCACAATATACAACGCGCGTACGCACACGCACACACACTTAATAAAACTGCACTGAAAATTCCATGCAAGTTCTACTATATTGAAGGTAAATTTAACTTAAAGTTTGAACTGTTTTTTTTTCTTTATTTTAATATCATTAGTCACTATTTTTATTGTTGGATTGTTTATGAAGGGTTCAGCCTTAGCAGTGGTAGCAACTTACTGTATATAGTGTGACAACAACAACAGCAGGTCAATATATGTTCAAAAATGTTTTTCTTGTGGAAAAGATTTTTTCTTTCTTCTTTTTTCTGTAGCCAACACTTTAAGGCATGTGCATGTATAGATATTGACTTCACTGGAGTCAAAAGTGTGACAACTAGTCCTGGGCTTGTCTACATATTTTCATTATTTCACTCACATGGGATCTAATGGTATTCATGGTGGAATGATGGATTTGGATCCTCTTTGTTTCCTGATATTGTTCTTGTATTGAGAAGGGATCATAGTGGCAGAAAGCCAGGGGAAATGTGTGAAAGCAGGAATGTGGATGTTCCTCTATAGTGGCTCCATTGTTGCTGTTGTTTTGTGATCAATGTAAATAAACAGGAAACTGTATTGAATCAATTCTTAAGTGATGAGAATATTAACTTACTAATTATTATTTTTCTTCTCTCTAGCAATTATTTTCCAATAGTTGTCCAATTTTAGTAAACTACATTGCATTAATCTGTATGAAATGTGTCCTCTCAGATGCAGTCATGGATCTCACAATGACCTCTAACGGGGCCACATCTGCTCATCATTTCCGCCTCTCTTGCGTTTCTGGAGAGTGTGATACAGACGGGATTCAGCTGAGCATCACAAAGGACAACAGCATTGTCCTTCGTGCAGATTCGCCACATTTTGATGTGCAGAGACCACAGACTAAAGAAGTGGTGGCTACTGGATTTACAGGCTTTGACCACAGTGGGATTTTCTACTGTCACTCAAAAAGGGGCTCTGACCAACCTGGCAGTGTTACTCTCATCAACAACTACAGCAAAGGTAGTTGGGGGGGGGGGGGGGGGGGGGGGGGGGACCATAAGTTATAGTTCACCCAAAATATAAATTCTGTCATCATTTACTAACCCGCTTGTTTCAAACCTGTGTGATTCAAAAAAGACACAAATGAAGATACCTTGAAGAATGTTTCAGCTGTTTCTGCTCTTACAATGAGAGTCAATGGAATTCAAAACAACACTGAGAAGAAGAACAAAAACATTCCGTGAGGCATTTAAAATAAAATGTCTTATCTTTTTTGTGTTCTTCAAGTTTTGGAATGACATGAGGGTTAGTAAATAATGACAGAAGTTTCATGTTTGAGTGAAATCTTTAAACCTTAAACAGTTTGACAAAACACTAAACATTGTTTTTGTTCAAGCATTAAATATCTGAAATATCTCATCTAAAATATATTAATAACCTGAAATATATTTGTAAAACTAATGAGACTGAAGAAAAGATTTTATAAATGTGATGTTATACCAGAATACTATTATTATTATGTCTTTTAAGACCACTTTAAACCAGTGAGAGTCACTCTGACGGCCAGTAAAGGAGACAAAGTGAAACTAATCATGGATGTTGTTGGGACAGAAAGACGAGACATTGCTTGGAAATTCAATGGTCAGTATATCTTTAATCTTATTCTTTATGATTTAGCAAGATGCATGTCAAAAGAGCAGGTATGCAACATTTTATGCATGATAATATGAGATTCATGAGAATATGTTTCAAAATGATATACATACAAAAAAAAAGAGACAGAAAAATAAAATACTTTTAATTCAAAATGGGACACCATGTAGAAAGACAAAGAGATTCCAGCAGGATGTTTCCAACAAGATGATCAGTAAATTGATGAGCAAAAATGAGTAAATGCATGAGCAATTTATAAGCAAGAATATTCTGATTTCTTTTAGGTAACTACTACTACATGACTCCTATTGCTGATGTTCAAAACCGCACAGCAGTTCTGGATCTGATGAAAGTTGATGAAAGCCATACAGGAATTTACAGTGTCAGCTATGTTGGGGACAGTGCTCTTTATAGTGCCTGGATCCGCCTCATCGTTCGTGGTAACATAATCAGTATCATATGACCAATTTAAATATATTCAGAACTATGGATTTTCTATTCTAGTGCTTGATTTATTTTCTAGAATGTCCAAAGAATAAATGGGGCTCAGACTGTGACAAAGACTGTCCCGAATGCTTGAATGGAGGCGTGTGCCATGATAAAAATGGAGATTGTGTTTGCCCACCGGGGTTTATGGGAATGCGCTGTGAGACAGGTAAATGAAAACCATTTCTATGATACTGATAGAGACTTTGCATGTAAGGACTTAAACATACAAATCATTTTTCTGATTTTGGTCTTGCAGCCTGTCGTGAAGGAATGTTTGGTAGGAACTGCCAGGAATCCTGTAAATCGGAGAATGGATGCCAGGGCTTGAGTTTCTGTCTCACGGATCCTTACGGCTGTTCTTGTGCCAGCGGCTGGCATGGAGATCACTGTCGTAAACGTGAGTTTAACATAAGATCTCTTTTTATAATAACTGTTCCCTCCATGCAGAGTATCATCTGGACCCAACAGAAAGGATTCAGTTCTGAATTCAAATTAAAGTTTAAATAGGTGCTGCTGGAATCTGCCAGTAAAAATTCAGCTTCCATCAATCTGACCAAGATAAACATTTCTTACTGCTCTGTCCATTTGTTTTAGTCTTTGTGGAAACCAGTTTCCACCTCGGAGTAAATAAAACACGTAATTGTGAGATAAAATATAAAATAAACAATAAAAAAAGAGAAGTCACGCTGTAACATTGTGAAATACAAAATTGCAAATACAGGAAATAGCCACAATTATGAGAAATAAAGCTGAAGTAGACTGATATAAAGTCAAATTGTGTGATGCAGTCACATTGTAAAATACAACGTTGAAATTTAGAAGAACAGAAAGTTGTAACTGTGAAAAATAAAGCTGCAATGTCAATGTTATTTTCATAGCCTGTCTTGAAGGAATGTACGGCGCTGACTGTCTTTTAAGTTGCAACTGCAAGAACAAAGGCAAATGCAATCGATTCAGTGGCTGCCAATGTCCTACAGGCTGGAGAGGGCAATACTGTGAGAAATCAGGTCAGCCTTCAAAACTACTTTTCCATCTGCTCTAAAATCTATAACGTTTGTTCCTCTTGGCGCTGTTTATCTAACCTTATCCCTCTTTCAGATCGTGCACCAGAGATTTTGGACATGGCTAGTAACCTGGAGGGAAACTTGAACTCCAGCCACAAGATCACATGTTCTGCAACAGGCTATCCACTGCCAAGCCATATGAGTATTGAGCTACGCAAGCTGGAAAGCATCGTTCTTAAGGTGAAAGCATCATAAGTATAAGAAGCTTAATAAGAGGTTGCATATGAAATTGAAAAAAATGAATGTTGTGTCTATCTTTTCAATGTGACAGTCTTTGTGATTGTCTGCTGATTTTTTTCAGGCATCACACACTACCATGGACTCCAAAAAAAGCACAGCTCACTTTGAGATCCCAAGGCTGTCTGCAGAGCATAATGGTCTGTGGGAATGTCGAGTCTCCACCTATGGTGGGCAGGATTCCTTCAAGTTTATCTTAACTGTGAAAGGTGAGATTCATTTTAAAATGGATTCATTCTAGCGATGTTCTTACTAACTTAAATTTGCACTTCGTTGTGAACTAGAGCCACCCTACCCAACCACTGCTCCTAAACTGCTGTCTAGGAGTAGCAAACAGCTGGTTGTAAAGCCAGTGGACACTTATGTGGGTGACGGTCCCATTGTTTCCACTAAGCTACTTTACAAGCCAGTGGATACAGAAGACTCCTGGTCCTCCATTATAGGTAACTTTGCCCAAATCATTTCTGGTTTTAGGAATTCCTGCATTAGGTTCATGCCAATGTGTAGAATCATATCAATATACTATAAAAGTCATACACATATCATCTTTTTTTTAGTGTATGGCAGTGATCAAATCACTTTACCGAATTTGAAGCCCTCAACCAGATACCATGTCCGTGTACAACTCGCTCGCCAAGGGGAAGGAGGAGAAGGTCCTTTGGGTCCAGAGGCAATCATGGAGACTGACTGTCCAGGTGAGAATCAATCAAAATAGAATTAAAAATGGCTTGGTTGTAGAAAAAGATGGAGGTAAATGCCTCATTTAAGAACATATTTAGATTTGAGTTTAGCATGTACAGGAATACAATGTATCGGGTGTACAAAATTGCTCCATTACTGTGATAAGATGGCCCCCTACCTGTGGCAAAAAGACCCATTCAGTAAATTTGTCCTAATTGTAAGTGTAAAATACATCTGATACATGTACAATACACGATAACCTAAATCTAATTAATGGAATTATAATATTTAAATAAATAATTAAAACATTAGCAATAACATGCCACTGTCCCACTTTGAAAGTATCATCCTACCCCGGTGTCTAACCATCGTTATTTTAGTGTTATTTATATGCTATCATAGTATTTATTAATATGTTGAATTTTGTTTTTATATTTTCAGTTTTCATTTCAATTTAATTTAAGTAATTGTGCTTTTGTTGTTTTTATTAGTTTTCTATATAGCTTTAATTCTTTTAATTCAGTTTTACTTTTAGTAATTTTATTACTAGTCTTAAAACTTTTCTCATCTAATATTTATATATTATTTTATGTCAGCTTTATTTCAATTAGCAAACATTTTTTTTTATCGTTTTAGTTAACAATAACAATGCTGAGTCTGTCCACAAGTCCATTGTTAACAAACAGCCTTTTAATATCTGACCTAAAATAAATGAACAGATCACTATAATCCAATAAAAAAAATGTATTTCAAACTGTTCAGAATAAATCTAACGCTGAAGTTCAGATGAAAAGATTATGAAGTTCCATAAACCTTCAGTAAATGTGTTGAGATGAGATTGAGTGACATCTCAACAGAATAAATAAAAGTGAGGAGAAGAGTGGGGTTCTTTGAGCTGAAGATGGAGGTTTGGATGAGGTTGACATGGATTGTCAAAAACTGAACTGGAAACAAGTCTATATAGATAAATGATTATATATATATATTTTGAATGCTTTTCTTTTGAAATTTCTATTCATCAAAGAATCCTGAAAAAATATATTCACAGTTTCTAAAAGAACATATTAAGCAGCACTGATTACAATTTTCAACATTGATAATAATAAGAAGTATTTATTGAGCACCAAATCAGCATATTAAAATGATTTCTGGAGGATGGAAATAGACAAGGAAGTAATGGCTGCCGAAAATTCAGCTTTGCCATCACAGAAATAAATTTAAATTTAAAATATATTAAAATATAAAATAGTTCTCTTAAATTGCAAACTGCAAATTTAATATTTTTTCAAATACATCAAATAAAGGCAGTTTTTGGTAAGAAAAAATCTTAGATCCCAAACTTTTGAAAAGTTATACAGTGTATAATAATAATAGAGCCATAATAAGTACATATATATATATATTTACTCTTCAATAAATGTAAATGCATGCATTCTCAGGGAGAAGAGACTATCTTACAGTTCAACTCTGGGACTCTCACACTGACCCGACGACCAAAGCCTTCCACGGAGCCCCTTACCTATCCCATACTGGAGTGGGAGGACATTAAGTTTGAGGATGTCATTGGAGAAGGGAACTTTGGTCAGGTCATCAAGGCCATGGTCAAAAAAGATGGCATAAAAATGAGTGCTGCGATTAAAATGCTCAAGGGTAAGAACACAAGCCAACACATCATTGTTAGCCAAGGTCTGTTTTGGCATGATTGTGATTTTGTGTGTCCGTTGTGTGCACCTGCAGAGTTCTCCTCAGAGAATGACCATCGAGACTTTGCCGGTGAATTAGAAGTGCTGTGTAAATTGGGACAGCATCCAAACATAATAAATCTAATAGGTGCCTGTGAAAACAGAGGTGAGTGTGCCACCTATTGGCTTTACCTAGATATAAGGTCAAATAATATAATGTGCCTCACAGAGATTAATGTAAATCTAGAAGTGTAATAGTAATGTCAATAAAGCTTAAAATCACTATTGTCAAAGTACTTTTTTTGGCACGGATACCATATTAATTTTTCTCTATTAAATAGTGCAGATATGTGACAGCATCTGTTATCCACAGGTTACCTTTACATTGCCATTGAATATGCACCGTACGGAAATCTTTTGGACTTCCTAAGAAAGAGTCGTGTCCTAGAGACCGATCCTGCTTTTGCTAAAGAGCACGGAACTGCCTCCACACTCACCTCCCAGCAGCTCTTGCAGTTTGCTGCTGATGTAGCAACTGGCATGCATTACCTTGGTGACAAACAGGTATAATGTTTTTCAGATTATGGAGGTGTATATATAAGAATCCATGGATGGATGGGCAAAATTAAAGGAATAGTTCACTCAAAAATTTAAATTTACTCAAATTTGCTCACCCTCAGGCCATCCATAATGTAGATGAGCTTGTTTCTTCATGGGAACAGATTTTGAGAAATTTTGCATTACATCACTTCCTCTCCAATGGATCTTCTGCAGTGAATGGGTGCAATCAGAATGAGAGTCCAAACCACTGATTTTCTGATTTTCAGCAAATTTTCATTTTTAGGTGGAATATTCCTTTAAATTCCCATATTGGCCCAGTAATTCTATTGTTTTTATTACTTGCAGTGATGCAAATTGTTTAATTGTTAGCCAACATGTCTTAATCCTTCTCAATTTTTAATGGACAACTGATAAATAAGCAGGAAGGAACTGATAACATAAACCAGGAAGCTCAAATTTAGAGTAGCATGTTCCACAAGACCACATAGTGCCTCTGTCAAAACGACCTATTTTTACCCACTCAAGAACATTGTGTACTGAACATTTCGAAAACAACATGACCAACACGACATACAAACATAGTTTTCTCCATTAGCCCGTTATTGATTTACCACAAAGCCTGAGTATGATTGTCACACTCAAACATTAGCGTTAGCTTTAGCATAACATAACTGCAGTTCATCCCCCATAACTGCTCTAATATTTACACTACCGTTTGGGGTCAATAATTTTTTTTTCTTTCAAATACATTAAATACTTTTCAGCTAGGACACATTAAAAACTTTTCAGCAAGGATGCAGTCATTTTTTTTTAAAGTTTAAATATTTCAAATAAATGCTGTTGAACTATCCATCAAAATATCCTGAAAATTTTTTTATCACTGTTTACACACAAAAAAAATATATTACCTGTTTTCAACAATGATAATAGTAAGAAATGTTACTTGAGCTCCAATCAGTCTGTTAGAATGTTTTCTGAAAGATCATGTGATATTGAAGACTGGAGCATTGCCATCATATCTATAAACGTATTAAATACTAAAATATATTCAAATTGAAAAGAGTTTGTAATAATTGCAATAATATTTTACAATATTACTGTTCCTAATGTATTTTTAATCAAATAAATGCAGCCTTGATGAGCATAAGAGACTTTCAAAAATATTCTTTCAAAATGTTACTGACCCCAAATTTTATCACATGGGCAAAAGGCCGACAAAACTTTCACAATCACATAAATAAAAATAAAATAAAATAACAAAACACCCAACCATCTGTCTTGGTTTTTCAGGTGGTCTTTTGGAGTTCTTCTGTGGGAAATTGTAAGTTTAGGTAAGTTTGTTCATAACTATTTGAATAAATTGTTGTGTACTGCATTATAAACATGTTTCAGCCAGATGAACGCTATGAATCTGTTCTCCTCAAGGTGGGACTCCATACTGTGGGATGACCTGTGCTGAGCTCTATGAGAAGCTTCCTCAGGGCTACAGAATGGAGCAGCCCAGGAACTGTGATAATGAAGTGTAAACACAGACAATCATGCTTTCTTGTAGTCACTTTCCATATTGATTGACTGCAGTTGTATTAATAATTAATAATCCATATAGGTATGAACTTATGAGGCAGTGCTGGCGAGACAGACCCTATGAGCGACCGCCATTTTCACAAATATCTGTCCAGCTCAATAGGATGCAAGAGGCACGGAAGGTAAGGAAAAAATAGACTGATGCTTGCATATGTAAAACTCAGACTACCATGCGGAGGTTTTGTGGGTTTTTACCAGGGGAATTGCTATGTGGTTATAGGTGGTTTATTCTCTATTTTAATATAGTTTAAAATGTAATTAATTCCTGTGATGGCAAAGCTGAACAGCCATTACCCCAGTCTTCAGTGTCACATTATTCTTCAGAAATCATTCTAATATGCTAAGTGTGCATTTCATGGAAATAGCAGAAACGTAGCAGTTCTATCTGCACGTAGCCATCAACCAACCTCTTAATTCTCATCTTTCATCCAGGTCTATGTCAACATGGCTCTCTTCGAGAACTTCACTTATGCTGGAATAGATGCTACAGCTGAAGAGGCCTGACTACCAACCCCCCCAGACCCAAGAAGGGTTCATAACCCAAGGGAGGCTCATCATAGTAGGGCTTCGCGCTACTGTCACTCCCCTGTGGTCAGGTTCCATTGTTCAAAGAGACACTCCACCAAAACCACATGGCTATAGAGAACAGACTGTGAAAGGACACTCTTATGAGCTGTGACTCTAGATTCTAGAAGGATTCATATCTCAGGACTTGTTGGATTACTCAAGAGGAAATGGAACCTACAATACAAGCTACAGATGTAGCACACTGGGTCTGTGGGGATCTGGACCATGCACTGGACTTCTTTTCCATCTTTTATTGGGAGAATCATTGTGTGAGGTTGTTCAAATGTACATTAATCAAACACAGTTTATTCCGTGGACAAAAACGGCAGTATTATTCAATGTAGCACTTGAGAAAGCGATGTATTGTCCTTATTGAAACTCATTTGTTTAGCTTGAGTGAGTTCTGTACATAATGTTTATGTTGTTTATCAGACCGTAAAAAGCCACTAAAGATCTTTATTTATGTTTTTTTTTTACGTATGACATATGTATGACACGCTATAGCTATCCTGTAATCATTTTAAGTAGGTTAACAGAATGTCTTTACTTTGATAAATAAAGCATCTATGTGGTGACAGGACTCTCAGAGGCATTAGGAGACAACCGTAGATTATGCTATGGAACAGAAAGTACTTTCTTTTGCTCCTTAAAGTAGTGGGGTTGAGGTCAGGCCCCTTCCCTGCTGCAGCTTGCTGATCTGTCAAGGGCATTTCCTCCTATTCTGCCATAGGACCAGGAGCTGTCAGTCAGGGTATGGCAACTCAGTTTCCTCTAACTCACACACACACACATCAGACCCCCACCCTTAAACTCCATAGTCAAGTATTGCATTTAATATTATATATCTAGCTACTTTCTTTTGTTGGTCGATGAACCAAACTGCATTTAACATACGAATATATGCGCCAAATAATACTATTATACACACTTTCATGAGTTATTATATATATATCAAAATAACCCGATCTCATGAAAGTGTGTATAATAGTAGGCCTATGCCAAATAAAAACAAAAACTCGTGGTATTGATACCCAACAATGGACTTCGGCGTGTATATGCTACGCGATGGGAAAGGTTAGGGTTGTGGGGTAGATGCATATCATATGTACGCGAAAAAACTGTGTATCATATGCACGCCAACAAATTTCGTATCATCTGCACGCGAAAACTGCGTATTATATGCATGCCAAACACGTGCGTAGCATATAAACGCCAAAGTCCATTTTTGAGTATCAAAACCACAAGTTTTCGTTTTTATTTGGTGTACTACATACACATTTTCATGAGACCGGGCTCATTCAGAAGGAGTCAAAAGCATCAGTATGTTCACATTTTACCAAATTTCATGATGTTTATCATAATCGCACTCTAGACAGAAATTTAAATATTGCACTTCTCATAGTTTGAAAGACACCATACCAAAAAAAGGAACTCAAAATTATTTGTAAGAGACTTGATATCTCATCCCTGGGGTGTTAAATATGAAGTGTGACCTCTTCAATTGGGCTATATACTTCTACACATTTTATTGTGTAATATAATATAACGCTTTTTCTTTTTTTTTTTTGCAAGTGTTGTGTCAGCAACATACCCTTGAGTATATATGTGTGAGTGAAGGAGGCACTTGGTCAGTCCGGGTGCATGCCTCAATCCCCAGTGCAACCACTTCCTATTACATTGGGCCCCATCTGATGACCATCTACCAACCTCCCTGCCCTCTTCTAAAAACATAAAGTACTGAACACTAACATATTATCTAGATTCTAGAGATTTAAAAAGTCATATGTACATGATGGATTCAGCACTCACCTGGTGGATACTTCTTTCCTGTCTGATCAAGCAGGTGCATTTAGAGCCTCACCTATCAAAGCAAGGTAAGACACAAGAGTGAGTTAGTCTGTTTTTATTTTAGTTGATTGTGCACTTATGTGAAAGTGACATGACATGTGTCCAAGTATGGTGACCCATACTCTGAATTAGTGCTCTGCATTTAACCCATCCAAAGTGCACACACACCGTGAACACACACCCGGAGCAGTGGGCAGCCATTTTTGCTGCAGCGCCCGGGGAGCAGTTGGGGGTTCGGTGCCTTGCTCAAGGGCACCTCAGTCGTGGTATTGAAGGTGGGAGAGAGCGCTGTACATTCACTCCCCCCCCCTACAATCCCTGCCGGCACGAGACTCAAACCCGCAACCTTTGGGTTACGAGTCCGACTCTCTAACCATTAGGCCTATTTTATGTTAAGTTAATTCTGCTGAAGAGTTGTTATAGCTGTTCTTAGCTGTGATTTAGTAGTGAAAAAAGTGTCAATTCAAGACATGAATGTTGAGGGTGCATTTAGTAGAGCAAAGTGTAAAATCTTCAGTGAATGCTAGATGCAGCATTTTATTAGTATTGTAGCTACATGGAATGTTTTTTTCATTCTCAGATTTTGCTCGGTTGGCTATGGATAAGGACCCAAAATGTTTCACCAGGGATCTAGAAGCCTTCACTTGCTTTTGGGAAGCACCTGCTGGAAAGTCCTAATATTTTTTTCTACAAAATGTATGAATAAGGACTTTTTAAGTACTTTAATCTTCTACTGTATATTAAGCTTAAGCTCAAATTAATGGATCATTTACTGTAAAGTTGAGTCTGTTAGGTCACTGAAGAATTGATTAAAAAAATCTGGAAAATTATGAGATGGGGGGGATGTATGGTGGTTGAGGACCTGCTTCAAGCAAAAATGTTTCATTCATACAGATCATCAGAAGAAAAAAGATGTGATGTGAAACAACAACCATATGAGGAGAAAAAGGTCCTGCATATTTGCACATTCCCATCAAGTGACGTCTTCATGTATGTCGAGATGCACCTCAGATTGATAGACAGAGACACAAACACAACGATCTACAATCGCACATGCAGTGTGGAGGATCAGCGTAAGTGCAACAGGAGAACAACTACAATTTACTTTGAAGTTTTCATTCTTGATAGTGTCTGAATTAAAATAAAATATATCTGTTTGTCTTTCTCCAAGTTTTTCTGTATCCTCCAACAAATATATCCCTTCATCCAACTGGCGACGTGGGCCAAATGTTAGTTGAATGAAAAAAAATAAAAAATTCCAACAAACATGCAGTATGAAATTCATTACAGATCCCAAAACACATCAAGCACATTTAGACCGGTGAGTCTGACACATACCCTTATCATAATATTACTGTATGAATAATACATAGAGAAGCAGCTCATTTACTAAATGCAGTCTACACTCACTCTTCATAGGTGTCAAAACACTCCCATAAACTTGTGTCTCTGGTCGCAGGAGAGAACTGCACAGTGCAAATGAGAGTCAAGCCTGGAGGTGTTTTTTGGAGTGACTGGTCAAGTCCTGTAACAGCTATGGTGCCACAAACAGCAGGTGAGAGATTAAAAGAGTGTGGTGTGAGTACCACCAACCTTTATTTGGAAACTTGAAACTGTGTGATCTATGCCATATTTCCAATTACTTTTAATCAACTATTCAAATCTGGATTTAATGAAATGCAGGATCGTTTCTACATTTAGCATTAACACAACCTCCGTCACAGCACACTGTATGGAAAATTGTGAGAAAATCAAGCAGAAAAATTTGATTTTGAGGAAGTGTTCCACAAGAGGACAAAGCAATGTTGCTAATGTTGCTTAATGCTAAAGGTTTTAACTCATTAAAACATTATGTCTTGATACGATATATTAAAATATTATGTTTACTATAGTTGATAATAAATTAGCAATACCACACGAGTAGCGTTTATACAACAATTCGACGGCACGAGTGTGTAAATACACAAGAAACAAGTAACAAAGGAACATTGAGTTGCTTCATTGAAAACTTATTGTATTACTGTATTAAAAGCTCACTGTATTATGTAGAGTATTATGAGAGAGAGATGGACTGAGCGAGTGTGATTGCCTGAATCTGATACAGCATTCATTCTTCAGCTCAATCTCATATTCACAATAAAACATTAGTTTGAATGTCCGCTTAGGAAAGCGATATCTTTGTCTTACTATCCTTTCATCTGTTAAGGGTGATTTCCTATGACAGCGCTGCTCAGTGCATTTGTTGGCTGCGTCTTACAAGGTGCATTAATAGTGATGGGAGAAGCAAAGTTTTTCTAAAGTCTAAATCAATTGGACCATTTTCCTTGCAAAATGATTCACTGCCTCGAAACACTGATAACACCACATCACCATTTTAGCGGCTGGTGACAGCTATTGGTCAAAATTGCAAACTCAGTCCAAACATGTATTTGACACCTTTTGCAAACCTGTTGCAAACAATGCAATCTATTAAATGTAATCTACAAATAATGAAATACCATTAAATATGAAGGTTTTGTAAAATTTGCGCTCTTTTATTAAATTTAATGCTTGTTTTGGTTGGTGTTGGTAAGTCAATTAGACAGATAAAATGTTGGGAACTCTTTCACTTTCTTAGCAGTTTTTCCCTTATAATGAAAGTGAATGGTGACTGAAGCTGTCATTCTGGTTATCTCTTTTGCGTTTCATTAAAAAAAAAAATTTTTTTTAAATATACTGTATATATCACCATTCAGTATCTGGCTCATTTTCAGGTGACAAAGTTGCGGTGCCACACTCCAGATCTGCATCAAGTATTATGCCAATGGAGAGGAGACATTTATGATGACGGCAGATACAGCTTCCACTACAGACAAATAAACAGGTGTCACGTATAGAAATCCCAGCACAGCAGTTAGTTTGGTTTGTTAACTGCAGTCCTTCTTGTCTGGTGTTTCAGAAGTCTGTGGGATAGTTGGAAGTTGTGTTCCAGAGACAACGACACTGTCCATCAATGTGTCTTGTATGGGCAAGAGTCCATTAGGCCTATCTATGAGTTTTACCTCAGTGTTGGATTGCAACCATTTGGTCGAACGTTTTATGCAGAAACTTTCAGTATGAACCGCAGCAGTAAGTAAAAAATAAGAAATGGCTGAAAGCCATGTTAGCCACCATATGTTGTCCAAATAAAACACCCTATAAACTGAGCAAAGTACCATGTAAATATAATCAGAATCAGAATCAAAATGAGCTTTATTGCCAGGTATGTTTACACATACAAGGAATTTGCTTTCGTGACAGAAGCTTCCACAGTGCAACAGAATGACAGTGACGGAACAAAAACACAGATTAAAAAATAAAAAATAAAATAAAATATAGAACAAGTAAATAAGGAATACAATATACAAATTGACAATTGTATGTACAGGTATATTACAATAGATAATTTTGTATGTACAGGTTTATTAGTGCAAAATTGAAATGTAGACTAAGTATGTGTGTTAGATCAGTGTTTCCCAACCTTTTTTTAGTAGCGGCACCCTTTGGAAATTTTAGCAAACGTATGACACCCTACAAAATTAATTTCGTCAGAATATTTGAATTTCTAACTTCGATATGATCATTTGAAAAGTATAGATATTCGGTACAACAGGGAAGAACTGCAGAATATAATTTCATACAGATATTTTTAATATTATAAAAAAAATTTGTCCATCAATGGTGGCAATCAGTAGGCTAATTTCTAATGAAGAGACCAATTTATATGACAGATTTTAATGTAGGCTTTTATACATATGTAAACATTATTTAATTACCATTATAACTAGCTATCTCACAAATTTTTGCTCACTCAGTGTTTTTTTAATTTTACAGTGGGGTAATTTTGGTGCAGTAGCACGAGATAGCTTGATTTCAAACTTTGAATTGAATAAAAAATGACAAGTAAGCAGTCAGTAATAAAACAAGAACAAATAAAAGAAATTAATAATGATAGCACAAATAAAAAATAACGACAGGTCACTGTCATTACAGTGCTGTCCATGATGGTGAGTTGGGGGAGTGCAGGGGGGTTTCTCCTGAAGTGCACGATCATCTCCACAGTTTTCAGCGTGTTAAGCTCCAGGTTGTTAAGACTGCACCAGACAGCCAGCTCTTTAACCTCCTGTCTGTAAGCAGACTCGTCACTGTCCTGAATGAGGCCGATGAGTGTGGTGTCGTCTGCAAACTTCAGGAGCTTGACAGAGGGGTCTTTAGATGTGCAGTCGTTGGTGTAGAAGGAGAAGAGCAGTGGGGAGAGGACGCAACCCTGAAGAGTGGGCCAGCACCAGTTTTTTAAAAGACTTCATGACCACAGACGTTAAAGCCACAGGCCTGTAATCATTTAGTCATGTAATTTTGGATTTCTTTGGGATGGGGATGATGGTGGAGCGTTTGAAGCATGAAGGGACTTCGCACAGCTCCAGTGATCTGTTGAAGATCTGTGTGAAGATGGGAGCCAGCTGGTCAGCACAGGATTTCAGACAGGCTGGTGTAACACAATCTGGGCCTGGTGCTTTTTTTCTTTTCTGCTTCCGTAAGACCTGGTGCACATCGTCTTCACTGATTTGAAGTGCAGGTGTGGGGGAGAGGGGGGTTGCAGGAGGTGTTAATTGTTGTGTGGAGAGGTGTTCAGGGCGTGTTAATGACATCATTATATCATGACAACAACAGTTGATAGCCTTTTGGTGTCTGGCTCGTTTGCTGACATTTGGTCTGTCTCTATGCTGTTTTTGACAGTCCAGACAAGGCCTCCAGGTCTGAAGGCACAGCCTGAGGAAGGACGGCTTTGTTTGACATGGGATCCACCATTTTTGAAGATCTCGCCGTATCTAAAGTACCAGATCCAATACCAGCGGGAAGGAGCGATAGTGGACAGATGGATATGAACATATTTATATCAGTTATTTAATGACTTTCTTCATTCAGATGTGTTAATAAATAGCCAAACTCATGTTGAAACTGGTTCTCTGGTAGGATTTTACAACACCCAGTTACAGGATAGAATTGTGAACAGGTTTATATGGTAAAGTTAATGGTTGCACTTTGCACAAAGTTGGTAAACACACAATCACATCAGTCTATCGTTAACGAGATGGGTAAGTGTTATGGCTATACTTAAAAAAATCAGCAAGACATTTTTTTTGTCATTGGTAATTTGGATGTGACTGGTATTTTGTATAGTGTTTAAGTGCAATTTAACCCCAAATATTCCTTAAACTGTTATGCATGTTATTTTGGCTATATTTATTGTAATCATTCCTCAGCAATTATTATGCTTGTTGTATTTGTAATATGTTGTCTGTAACATCTTGTACCGATTATTACACAAGAAGCAATACTTCTCATGATCAGATCTGATCAGTCAATAGCTTTATTGTATCAAGACATCACACAAGTAAAATCTGAAAAATATCCAACATTCTGGTGCATATTATGAAAAATTTTACATTTTACCTTGACAGTCATTAAATGATAAACGACAAATGTGTGGGTCTTTCTTTCCCACAATAAAATACATAAAAACTGCTTTAGAATAAAGCCTTTGTGAAAATATTCTAAATACATTAAAGAGTGAACTGAAAGACATAATCTAAAGCAAAAAAGGTATGTGCTAGAATACACAAAATGTACAATTAAAATTTATAGAACTACACATATAATTTTAAGCATTAAAAATGTATAATGTATTCAAAACAGACTTGGGACAATATCACACATTCAGTTTTAGTTCACATTCACATTCAGTTCAGGATTTAACTGTGAAGCTCCAGGTAAAATCTGCTCATTAACTGTCCAAAAAGTGGACAGACACAGTGGTGATCCACACAGGTTGCCAGTTGGAGCGTGTGACCTGGTAAGCCTGAGTTTTAGTCAGCCTTCAATGCATAAAGCACATCGTCCTGACTAACATTGAGTCGGATACGGAGAAACAGGTCCAGGTGGCTTCCCTCAAGAAGAAGCAGGCGACAGGAACCCAGTCTCTGACAGACTGCCAATCCTTCAGACACACTCACCGGCTGCAAACCCTCAACACGACACAGAGCCTGGTGCTGAACAAACACCTGTGGAGAAAAAAATAAACATACATTCATTCTTTTAGGTTATACAATTCTTGAAATTTAGTATAATATAGATCATGATTAGAATGAGGGTTGTTAAACAAGTTACCTACCTGTTGGAAAGTGGCCTCTTCTAGACCCAGTCGACGAAACTCTGCAATAACAGCCCTCAGGAAAAGCTGCTCCTGAACAGAAGCACACCTAAAATAACAACATTAAAAAGAATGGAAGTCTGATTGGTGGCGAATCATTACATTTCTGTTTTTTATTGCCTTAAGTAACAATGAGCATACAACTGATGATAGTTCATAATTCTTTCACTTTTCTTTTCACCTGATAGCTGCGATGTAGGAAGAGGAGAACATCTCATCCAAAGCCTCCATCACATGACTCATCCCTACCAAGCCACTGCCGTTCTTCTGACTTCCAGAGTGCTCACAAATCTCTGTGGCCCGTCTGCAGATATCAAGGCAACGCCGTGCATCACCTGAAAGCGCTGCCACCTAGAAGACCACAATCTTATAAATAATGACATGAGATGACCACATGTACATTTAAATTGATAACATCTGTTAGCAAACAACCTCGTAGCCTAAGATCAATACAGAGACCACTAGAGTGCTCAAGAGTTGACCCACAATCCCCAAGATAACATGGTTTCATACCTTTCTTGAGACTAGCTGGAGAGCATCTTCTTCAAAAGCCTTCACTCTGTTCAGTCTCGATGTGATGATCTGTTGTAGCTGTTTAAAGGTATATGGCTGGAAGGACATTCTTGTCAGTCCCTGAAGATGAATAAATGACATTTATGTTTTATTTACATTATTTACAGCAGCCAAAATCCTTTCAATCATAACTGAATGCCATCTAAATGTAGTAAAATGGTTTTACCAATCGACTGGCAACACGGTTAATCATGATCCTCTCAGGCAAATCCATAGTGTTTGCAATGGTAAGAACCACCAGACGAGCGTTGCGCCTTGTTGGCCAATCAAACAAGTTATACATCACATTTTGTTTACGGGTCCACAAGAGGTCAAGCTGAAAAAAAGAATTAAAAAGAGATGAGGCATAAAGAGAGATATTCTTTTAGATTGGAGAGGATTGGACAGATATAATATTTAAAGTACAAATAACCCAATGATTGACAGGAAATGAACAGAATAAAAGAAACTCAAAAACAGATGTCATGGTAAAAACCAATATCTGAATGACAAAAAGATTTTCCAGCAGTATTTTGGAGAAAAAAAAAACACATTCATATGAGCTTAAGGTCAAGCTGTTTTTTTGGGACCTGCAGAACAATTTAAAAATAATTACATTAAAAATCACAAAGATACCAACTCAAATCCTATTTCTCTCTCCACCCTCAATACCACGACTGAGGTGAGACCCTTGAGCAAGGCACCGAACCCCCAACTGCTCCCCGGGCGCCACCACATTGGCTGCCCACTGCTCCGGGTGTGTGTTCACTGCTGTGTGTGCGCACTTGGATGGGTCACCATACTTGGACACACGTCACGTCCTTTCCTGTCCAATAACTATTGTTTTTATTGAAGAGCATACAGTTCTTGAAACTTCTGGAATCCCAATGAATTTAATCTGTATATAAAAAAAGTTTGAAAACCAGCAGCTTTATAATTACACAAGTAATACTGAATGTCATAGCTATTATGTAGAAAAGAAAAAAAAAAAATCCACATTGCGAAGTCACGCAGTCCTGGTCTATGTAGTACATCGGGCAGGACATCCAAATGCTCGCCTATCATTCAAGGGTTAGTTCACCCAAAAATGAAAATTTGCCCATAAATTACTTACCCTCAAGTCATCCTGTGTGTATATGACTTTGTTCTTTCAGACGAATCCAGTCGGAGTTATATAAAAAAATTTCTTTGATCTTTCAAGCTGTTTCATGGCACTTGTTGCATGCTTCAGTGCAAAACAAGTTAAATAAAAAGCGCCCATCCATAAAAATAAAAAAAGTGCCTCACACGGCTCCAGGGGGTGAACAAAGGCCTTCTGTAGCGAATCGATGCGTTTTTGTAAGAAAAATATCCATATTCAAAATGTAATAATCACTTTAATGTAGCTTGCACTCACTGTTGTAAAGGGAGGCCGTTCCGGGCGGATGACCTCTGAGGTCAGTGCTGCACATGCGCCAGTGAGTCTCGTGAAAACCAATGTTTGTTAACAGGAGCAAAGGAAGCAAAGTTTCCTTACTTTAGCAAAGGAAAACCAGTCTCCTCTTAGCTTATATCGAAATCCTCCGACATTCTTCTTTACAAATCCTCGTTTTGTACTTCTAATAAGTGACCGTTGTTTTGTTTTGATCTCTCCGCTGCGTTTCTGCATGCGTCACTTCTGAGCGGCACATGCGCAAAGCCGGCCTCCATACGTCATTCCCCCGGAACTGCTTCCGTTTACAACAATGAGCGCAAGCTACATTAAAGTGATTATTATGTTTTGAATATGGATATTTTTCTTACAAAAATGCATCGATTCGCTACAGAAGGCCTTTGTTCACCCCCCGGAGCC